ATATTATGTATGACCATTTTTGCTTGTCTTGAAATATTATTTTAATAGTTTTAATAAGCAGTACATCAAATGGCATTGTGTAGATATACTATAATTTATACAAACTTATGCTTGGAAACAATGTCCGTCTAGAGACTAAGATGCTCCTGATCCAGATCATGGTCTTCACAATTTCTTACTTTGAATCACAGAGCTGGACAATGACTAAAAATGACAGAACAAAAATTAATGCTTTTGAGTTGTGGTGCTGGAGAAGAGTATTGAACATACCATGGACTGCCAAGAGAAGAAACAGGTCTGTTCTGGAGAGGGTGAAACCAAGTTGCTCCATGGAGGCAAGGATTTTGAATCTTCAACTTACATAATTTGGGCTTATTGACAACAGAGACCAGTCCTTGGAGAAGGACATCATGCTTGGAAGGGTGGGGGGACAGCATAGGAGAGGGGGAACCTAGAGGATATGGATTGACACAGTAACTGGGATAACAGGAGTAGGTATGTCAGGGTCAGTGAGATTGACCCAGGGTAGGGAAGAATTCAGGGCTGTTGTACCTGGGATCGCTGAGTTGCAGATGACTTAATGGCACATAACAACAAATGGTATACTTGGTAAAAGGGGTCTCTGGTGGCCTAATGGTAAGAAACTGTGCTGCAATCCCAAAGGCACAAAGTCCTTATCCACTAGTTGCTCCATCAGAAAAGGCTGGGTGGTCTTCTCCCATACAATTACTTGTCTCTGAAAAATCTGCTGAAGGGTGCGTGCGCTATGGGTCAGTTCTGACTTGATGGTACACAACAACCACAAGCTTGGAAAAGTTGATGGTTAGCAAAAGTGAAGACAACCCTCAGTAAAAAGACTTCACACAGTAATTGCAACAATGGGCAAAGGTTGTAAGGATGGCATGCAGGTTAGGGCAAAGCTTTGTCTCTTGTTCATAAGGTGACTATGAGTCATAGTTGACTCAAGGGCATTTAACAACAAAAATATATAACTATTATTCCATTTTTAGACATATATTCATTTCCCATTTTTCATGGTTAAAAATAATGCTCTGAGAAACTTCCTCATACCCAGTCTTTAGCAGCCTTCCTGATTCCTAGACATGGAAAGTTTAAAATATTTTAAAATAGTATTGAAAATATGTTTTAAGACTCAAAAGAATATTTGTGGAAAAGTTTAACCCATCACATTCAAACCTTAGAAAGTTAAAAGAGAGACAAACACAATAGTCTTCAAACCCAGATTAAATCTCTCATGCTTATTCTCTTGTAT